TCACTAAGAAACCCAACAATATGAATAGGATTTGTTATATTTTTGTGTCGTTTAAATTCAGATTTTACATAATCATCACCAAGTGAACGAAAGGAAGGAGGGAGTTTCCTGTGAGCTCTCAAAAGTTGACGATAAAGAATTAATGGAGGAAGTAGATTTGCGGACGACATGTTTTTACACAGATGGAAATTGTTGTCTATAATTTTAAGAATTTATTTGCAAAATCTTTATATATAACGATAAAATCTCTTAAACTCTAACCTATCGGCAATACTCTAATACTAACCTAACAAACCAAAATTTTACTTCGAAATACAGAACTAGTAAACTTATTATTTTATATATTTATTTTTTGTTTTTCTTATAAATACTAGATTTTAGTTATGTAAATTTCTTTTTTTAATATTAAAAATGTAATTAAAAATTTTTAGTTATTTAAAATACAGTACGAACGGTACAAAGATTACAAGCCCGGGTTTTTTTTGGTAGTTATAAAATTCAACCAATTAATGATCTTCAGAAAATTGGCCAATCAGACGAATTTCTGCCTATGAGGATTTAAGGACCCGATTTGTCATTAATCACGTGTCTATCAAATGTGTCTCTGCGTATTTTTTAAATTTAACGCGAAAATTCAATAAAATCCAAAGATTGCTTTTGATTCCATAAACAATTAAGTAAATTCTCGATAAACCAATTAATTCTTGATCAATAAAATCTCTATTAATGGTCGAAAGATTTGATTTCTATTTATCGAGATTAACTGTGTTTATTTCTATATTTTTCTGCAAACAATAGATCAATTACCTTTAAACATAGACAATTAATGTATAGTGACCTTGAAGAAGATCCTATAGATGCACCCAGTTGGCTGGATGTTCTTCCACTTCATCCAATATTTCATTTAAATGAAGTAGAACAGCTGGAAGAAGACTGTAAGCCTCTTTTTCTTGGTGGTTTTTTTATCTCAAAATTCTGATTATATAAGATGAACTATGATTTACTAGTTAAAGAATTGGGATTATAGGGTGATCCACAAAGAAAACAGTCATGCTTAACGGCTTCTATTAGTAAGAACCTAATAGTAGCCGTAGGATCTGAGATAAGAATCTTGAATTTAATGGAATTCAAGTGTGCATGGCGTCAAGCGGTAGAGCTCGACGAATTAGGTTTAAACGATATTGACGATGGCGAATATTTGCCAGAATGGATGAATCAAGTTAAACATGTAACTCTTGATACACCATCCATAAAATATCAAATTAGATCAATTTCTGTTAATTTCAAAGAAAAGGGAACTTTAATTGCTGTTGCTGGTGATTATGAAGTGTCTGTAGTAGTCATGCCGAATTCT